CCCCTTGCAGAACGTGGCCGTGCGCAAGGTCAAGGTCCTCAAGGCGCCCAAGTTTGACCTGACCAAGCTGATGGAGGTGCACGGGGACTACAGCGCCGAGGAGGTCGGCGCGCGCGTGGAGCGGCCCGCGGCGGCGGCGCCGGCGGAGGGCGAGGCGGCGGCGGCGCCCGCGGAGTGAGGCGGTCGCGGGCGGTCGCGCGCGCTGCGGGACACGGGGCGTTGTGCGGCTGTAACGCGTGTCCCTGGCTGTGTTCGGTGTGGTTAGGGGGCAAGCTGGAGTGTGGGCCCCGACGTTCAAGCAGCCGGGCCAGTCCTGCGCTCGCAGCTGATGGGGCGGCGGCGAGGGGGCGCGCGCCAGCGCACGCCCAGTGAGCGGCGCAGCTGCTTTAAGGGGCGACGGCAAGGACAGGGCATGTTACACGCTTAGTCAGCGCCACGGATGGACAGCCCAGGCCAGCCACACCCGTTGATGCTGAATGGGCGGACGTGCGGCGCTCGCGCGGGCGGCCGAGCCTGCCGGGGCGCGTGCGCTGGCTGCATGCGAGATTCGGGCCTGGAAAGTGCAAGGCAGAAACCCTGAAATACGGCTGGTGGCGGCCCCGACTGTTTGCCGCCGTGTGACCGCCTAAAACAGGACCGACCAGCCGAGCTGCGCTCATCTATGTTGGGGTGCCGCGTGCAATCGAAAAGGGGGTTTGAGAAACATAGCAATCCTAGCCTGCGCTCATCAATCAGATTCTTGTCCAGTGTGCTGCGCAATTCGTCGCTCCCGCCGCCTGCCATGCCCACGCACACGCCAGCGACCGTGGCAGCACCAGCTGCCAGCAGCCCCCATGCGTGTGCGGAGGTCGGCACGCGGCCCTGCGGCCGCCTCACAGTGCCAGCAGCGCCAGGGCGCCCGCCGCCGCAGCTGCGGCGCCCGTGGCCCAACCCGCCACGCGCGGCGCGCCTGCTGCGCTGCGGTCCGTCCGGTTCATCGGCCGCGCGAGCGGCAGCGGCTTTGCGCTGCCTGCGGCGCCGGCGGCGCCCGGCGCGGGGGCCGGTGGCGTGGGGGGCGTAAACTTCATGTTTGGGCGCCAGCCCCAGGAGCCGAAAAAGAGACCGTTGGCAGTGGTTTGACCGCACACGTCGAGCAGGACCACCTCAAGCGTGTGGTTCCCGCTGTCCGCCACCCGCAGGTTGAGCGGGCTCTCGCAGTGCACCGCGTCCGCCGCGTTGGCGATACGCGTGCCGTCGACATAGCAGAACTGCTCGCCGTAGCCCTGGGTGTCCCACGTGAACGCGGCGCTCGCGCCGGACGCGACGGGCACCTCGGGGCCCGCTAGGTTGGCGATCTTTGACTTGACGGTCTGGATCGGCACGGGCTTGTTGCTGATGTTGCGCAGGCTGACGCCCATGAACTTCGCTGAGCCGTCGTCGTACTGGTCAAGACCGAACAGGCTGTTGAGGTCTGGGGTGCTGGTCGACAGCGAGCCCTCAATCCAGACATTGTAGTATCCGTTGACCAGCCCGGGGCTGTCCAGGAAGACCTGCAGGTGGTTGGGGTCCTTGGGGTCGGTCCACTTCACGTACTGCCCAAAGTAATCCTGCAGGTTGTCGCCCTGGGGCGTGCGGTCGAAGGTGCGGTTGAGCTTGCCCCACACGTGGAAGACGGTGCTGAACAGCTGCAGGTCGCCCCTGGGCGGCTCGAAGGGGGACAAGGGGGAAGGAGGGAAGCGGCTGTTGTGAGGGAGGGGCGGCATCGTACTCAGAGCCCATGGATCCCGTTCACGCGTTTGAGGGTAGAGAGGCACGAGGGGTTGGGTGTACGCAGGGAGCCTTGGCAAGCTGGGTGATTAGTGCATGAGGTGCGCACTGGGCCGCGCCTGTTCGGCGCCCATCCTGCAATACTCATATCCCTGGTTGCCCAGATATTCCTTTTGCGCCACACTCCTTCCTGCTGCCTGCACACCACACAGACCACACAGACCACACAGACCACACGGATCACACAGATCAGATCATGACTACCATCTCAAAACAGGCACACCACCCACCCACCCAAAGCAGCCCCCAAACCTCCGTTTCCCCCACCCTCAACCATCTGCCTCCATCCTGCTGACTCAGGCCCTCAACCTCCGCCCCTGGTGCCCCCCTATCCCCACTTCCCGCGCGCCTGGAGAATTGGGGCTTGGGGGTGATCCCTGTGAGGTCCACCGCGAAGCTGCTGTTGCAGCTGTGGAACGTGATGTTGGCCTGCGGCCGCGTGGCCAGCTTGAAGAAGCAGACCTGGCGCATGATGGACTGCGCACGCGCCGGCACCTCGAACTGCTGCGCGCCGATGGAGACGATGCCGGAGCCCGGGATGAGGTCCATCTTAACCTGCAGGCAGTAGTCACCCTGCGAGATGTGCGCACACGTGCATGTGTGTGTGTACGTGTGGGTGGTGCATGTGCTTGTGAGTGTGTGTGTTTGTGTTCGTTTGAATGTGTGTGTGAAAGAGAGAGGCTGAGCTTGCTGTGTGTCAGGGGTGCAGCATTGTGCGCAACCCGCTGTGTGCAGGGCGTTGGTGGGGCGGTGGGGCTGCGCTGGCAAAGCAGGGAGCAGCTCTTGATTCATATCTGGGGGTGACAGGGCCTAGGCAATGCTGCTGTGACCCCGCGCGACGCAGCGCGGCAGAGCGCCGACGACTCGCAGGCGCGGCCAGCCCTGCCGCAGCCGCCCGGCCCCCATGACGAGCGACGCCGGTGTGCAGGGCGAGCGGTCACGGGCGCGGCGGGGGGCTCACGTCGGGCAGCTGCGGCACAAAGTTGAGCGTCACATTGGCGGGCGGGTCCTGCTTGGAGCCCTTGAGGAAGGGCCCCAGCTGCCCGCTCTGCCCGGCGAGGGCCCACGTGATGGTGAACGCCGCGGGCCGCGTGAGCACGCCCGCGCCTGCGGCGCTCTGGCCGGTGACGCACGCGACGGGGACGCTGCCGCCGACTTGGGTGTAGACGCTGGCGGGGCCCATGTACAGCTGCGGGATGGGGTACCCAGCCAGCGCCACCTTCATCATCTGGTCGGTCTGCATGTTCCCGCCGCTCTGCTGCACCGCCTGCGACCAGCCGGTGGGCAGGTTCTCGCCCTGGGGCGGGAAGAAGGTCAGGCCCATGTCGCAGGGGCCCTTGGGGGCCGATGTGGCCGCCTGGGGCATCATGGTGGGCGCCTGCGGCGCGACGACCAGGTTTTGCGCGCGAGCGCCTGCGCGCAAGAGGGGCAGGGCACGCAAGACAAGGCGTGCGATCTTTGCGTAAACCTCGCATGCGGACCGAGGGCAGATGTCCGCATTTGAGCTTGGTCGGATTACAGTGCTGAACGCAACCCACTCGAAGGGCTACCTTCCAAGCGCATAAGCCCGAAAGTAAGATTTTATCAATTTACTTGAGCATGTGACTGCGCAGCAGTGCGCGGGGGCGAGCCTGATCGTGAAACTGCTACATACCCGCTGCGAGGAGGGCCAGCACCAGCACCACCAGCCGCCTGTCCGCCATGATGAAGAAACGAGAGCCAAGAAAATTATAACCGCTGCGCTACGCCTTGCACCGCGTGCTTGTCCTCTTGAGCGGGCTGGCCGCGGGTGGTTGTCGTCTGCACGCAGGGCCAACACCGCGCGTTGAAAGAGAGAATGAGAGGATTTTAATGTATTCGAATGCCTCAGCCTCCTTGGTACAGCTGCTGACCCCGTCGGTAACCCCCCAACAGTGCGCGCTGCCTGTTCAGCTGATGCACCTCGACACGACAAATGGGTGCGCGACAGCCGATAGGTCACACATGCAGGGCTCTGTACGAGATTTACACACCAGGGTCAAACAGAAATGGTGTTACCTCAAACACCTGGGGGTCGTAGTCGGCCGTCACCGTCGCACCGAGGATTTCCAGTGTGCGGCCGGCTATCGCAGCAGAGTGCACAAAGCGAGTGAGGCATCCCTGCTCGCAACCTTTCCACCGGTACTTGCATCACAAATCACTTGATAAATTACACCTAGAAGCCCCCGCCAACCCCAGGCGGGATCAGCTGGCGCGCTTGCTGCCTAGAGGTAGTAAGAGCGCTGTGGCTTGGGTGCCGGCTTAAAAGCATGTGCAGCGCTGTCTTGCTGCCTGCTGCTTGCCTCTTTTTTTGTATCACCCCTCACAGAGGCCTGGCCAGCACCGCAACACCAGGCGCAGCAGCGCCCTCGTCGCGGCTGCGCTGCCTGCATCTCACCCCGTCCCGCGCGGCGCGGTTGCCGCGCTGCGGTCCATCCGGTTCACAGCCGCGCGAGCTGCAGCGGCGTCGCGCTGCCCGCGGCGCGAGCGGCGCCGGGCTTCGGCGCCGGCGGCGTGGGGAGCGTCAACTTCATGTTTGGGCGCCAACCCCAGGATCCGTAAACGAGGCCGTTGGCGGTGGTCTGGCCGCACACGTCCAGCAGGACCACCTCAAGCGTGTGGTTCCCGCTGTCTGCTAACCGCAGGTTGAGCGGGCTCTCGCAGTGCACCGCGTCCGCTGCGTTGGCGATGCGCGTGCCGTCGACATAGCAGAACTGCTCGCCGTAGCCTTGCGTGTCCCACGTAAACGCGGCGCTCGCGCCGGACGCGACGGGCACCTTAGGGCCGGCAAGGTTGGCGACCTTCGACTTGACGGTCTGGATGGGCACCGGCTTGTTGCTGGTGTTGCGCAGGCTGACGCCCATGAACTTCGCTGAGCCGTCATCATACTGATCGATGCCGAATAGGCTGGTGAGGTCTGGGGTGCTGGTCGACAGCGAGCCCTCAACCCAGACGTTGTAGTATCCGTTGACCAGCGCGGGGCTGTCCAGGAAGACCTGCAGGTGGTTGGGGTCCTTGGGATTGGTCCACTTCACGTACTGATCAAAATAATTCTGAAGATTGTTGCCCTGGGGCGTTCGGTCAAA